CTGTATTATTGGGATGAATGTTAACTCTTAACCCTAACAATCGTGGATCAACTTCTTTCCTAAAAATATATCTATTTTGAGTTAATTTTTCAATATAATGATTAATATAAATATACCATGCAGCATGACTTAAGCTACTATATAAAAAAAATAAAAGTCACGTATATCCCATGCAGTTTTTTCCAAAAGCAACTTTTCTAACACTTATAGAAAAGCCCTATTGGCCAGTACTAAATACAATCTCTACATAAAATGGCAGTTACTATAATAAGCACCACCCACATTCATATTGTAAAATCTAGAGAACAACGTTTCATCATGTGGTTTCCTTATCATCCTATGATTTGTCAAATGGGAGATACAGTAATTGGAATAATTGGTACTGAAATTGACACTTTCGACTAGGATTGGCTAAAAGTTTTACAACTGAGGTTTAACATGCCCAGACGCAGTTTTATAAAGAATACAGACTAGAAAAAGGTTTAGATACCAATCATAGATGGCAGGACCAATGCTGAGGTGGAAGGAAATATCTTAAAAAAATTTTTGAAAAAAACGTTTCTTCTTAGAGGGTGCTTATTTACAGTCTAAAACGTATTTGAGGAATTTTTTCATTAAATTCCTCTTTAAACTTCATTAAATAAAACAATTTTGTACAAATAATTGAATGTTATGCTACTATTTATAAAAATAAAATCAGAAATTCATTAAAAGATAAGTTCTCTATCATTTTTTCAATTCACAAATGATTTTGCCCTCACACTTGCATTGCCTACTAAGAAAGATAGTAGCTGGTAGTCATCGGGTTAAAGAAAATGTGAACACCAGTGAACTGTAGTTGTATTGCATGTAGTGTGGAAATTACAATCACGCTATAGCACCATGTCAACTTAAATAAATTGATAGAAATTGGAGAATGTTTTGGGTTAAAAGACAGTGAACTACGAGAGTTTGTCAATCAACAACAAGAGCTAGAGAGAGTAGAATGGCAACAGAAAAGTCAAATTGAGAAAGAAGAAAGATAAAGATTGAAAGAAGAAAAGGAAAGAGAAGAAAATGAGAGAAAGGAAAGGTGGGAAATAGAGAGAGAAAGAATAAGAATACAAATTGAAAAAGGAGAGAGAGAGAGAGGAGATACTT